AATTCAATTTATGGCAAGTTACATCTTCTGTCAATGAGATTACTACCGTCAAGGATCCCTAGGGCTGACCATGCCCTAGCAGAAAGCCTGCAGAAGACTATTATTAATTCCCATTAGGTACAAAATGAAGATCCATCTTATGAAATGAGATAAAAGTAGCAAATATTAGACAATTTTAAGTAGAAGCAGTGCCACAATTCCATCCCAAAAGCAGTGTAAATGTACAAAACAGAAAGCTTATGTTTCAAACTTGCCACCTGAGCGAAGGGGCTATCTGCTCAGAACATATACCCATTATGCCCATTTTCCAGTTTAAGAAGGAATTCACCCAAGGTGAATTCAGTTCCTCAAATAAGAGCTTTTGCTCTGCAGATTACAAACTGATCAGAGGTTCGGTACCAGGAAACAACAAGTTTGGAAGGGCAGTCCATCAGACTGGCCTGTGCTTTGTAATCCTACGAATTATCAACTTCACCCTCAAACACTATGCATTCCCTAGCAGGTACACTGCTAATAATGCTCTTCACAAATCGTCATTGAGAAGTAGCGATAAAAACCTTGAAAGTCAGTATAACACTGCTCGGCTGCACTGATTACAAACAACTTACTGTCAAGTGCACAGAGAGTTGTGCTAAGCAATATACTACCCTTCAGTCAGGGACAGCAGGACCATAGCTGCCTGGTGATGCATTAAGAACAACTGTTCAGTAGTCAAAACAAGTGAACATTTCAGGTTTTACTGGATTTTTTGCTAATCTCTACTATCTGGCCAAATATGCTTTCAAAATGGTAGAATGGCAACTGCTTTCTCATACTTGCAGAGCTCAGCAATTATACTTACCTCTGGCAACTGCTCTGAACACTTAATCTCAAGACCAAGTTCACACTCCAGATCCAATATACTCAGGAACTTTTCTGGATTAATAACACAAATTATTGCCTCATTTTTATTGTGGAATGGTGAGATAACATACCTGTTCTATCTTTTTCACACAAGCTGAAAGTCAACAACTGTCCAAAATCACTAGAGCCTCTTCTCAAAGCCCTCAATGGATTTGAGTGCTTTCACACTGCTAGAGGCAAAACACCTGGGCCTTTTTTTACCAGCGTTAGTATCTGAGGAAGACACTCCTAGAGCAAACCAATCACTTCTTGAATACTGTATTTCTCCTTCCCAACCCCCTCCATCTGTTTTAATCCCTATTTTACTGGAACTAGCTTTAAAATTCTGCTTTGGTCATTGGAGAAACAGCTTAAAAATTAAAGAAAATGGGAAGGAAAGAAGACTGACAGACAGAGCTTCCAAGTCTTACTGGTGAAAAAACAGGCCAAAATAATATAATTATGATTATTTTGAAAATATTTAGGTACCCACATTTTTCGATCTGCCTCTGTTCTACAGAATAGCACTTTTGAAATGGAAGTTGGCTGGCCATAACTTAAGTCTGCTTAAATTTGGTATCTGAATAAAACATATCTCAGCAAGTAGGTTATAACTACTTTTTTTAAAAACGACATGGACATTGGCAGATTTCCTGCCTTTTTTACACTCATTTCTTCCAGTATTTCCCACATTGCGAAATAACTCTTAATGCTATAAAGGCAGGGCAGATTGCAAAATTGGTCTTAGTGGTTCCAATGGGAGTAACGTGGTCAGAATTTGGCATTCAATGAAGTTTCCATTTCTACATAGGTTTCATTTATTTTTCAGTTTAAAAATAAGACCATATTTTGGCATGTAACTAGAGCTGCTCCTACAACTCAAAGGAAATAACACTGCTGGCAAGCCTCAAAGCTGTTCCGAGACAAACTGTGTTGGCAGAACTTTTTCTAAAAGTTCTTCTTGACTAGAGGCAGGATTCAACACCAGCATAAATGGGAGAAACTTCACTGAAAACAGTTATGTTAAACAAAGTTTATATAATGCAAATATATTTAGCTGACATGGAATTTAAATTCTGATGAACGGATTCTGTTTATCTTCGACATGTACATAATAACTTAGCACCAAACTCTATAATCATTCTTCTGTGAATACTGTTCTTCCTCCTACACAAATGGTACTGTGCTATTTACAAAGTACACGGCCATGCTGCACGTTTTTTTAACATAAGTAATCCAATTAGGATGTGATCAAATTGAAGTTGCAAGATCTATATTTCAGCATCAATTATGGGCACAGAAGAAAATAACAAATCTGACATTTCACAACTTTTGAGGGTTTGATTTTGCAACCTACTTTCTAAAATACCTTTTTTGCATGACATACCCAAGGCTTTTTTAGAGCATGAATACGTTAACCAATGTGCAGCAGTGCTTTGTCAACACAGATCACAGCAAGATTTGATTCTCAACTCCACCACAGCATAGACAATGATGAAACCATTCAGGTACCTTAATAAAGGTGCTCATGCCCTTGGATATCCAAGATATAGCTGGATGATGCATGTGACAAAGTACTTACCAAGAAAACTGCACTATTTTAGATCAGCTGTTAAAAGCAACTGAATTGAGTTCCTCTTACCAGAGGGAGAGAGACAGACAAAGCTATGTGACAGTGATATCAGGCTGCTGAGATAAGCTTAGGGGTTTGAGGAAAGGGTCACAGTAACGCCCTCTTTTTTACCTCCTTCCTGGGAAATGCAGATTGTTCTTACTGTGAAAGCAGAGTGGGCAACAGGAACATTAAATCAGCTACTGCAGGCAGGCTTCGGCAGATAAGTGAAAGCATGGTAACTGAAAATCTAGCACTTTGCACAAGATACTGTTCCTTCCCTTCTTCAGTGGTTGTGTGATTCTAGATTTGGGAAGCTCAGAATTTTGTCAAGGTGACCCCTTTTTCCTAATGAACCCGGTTTGGAAAAGATAACCTGATTTTTAGATTTCCATTTCCTTAACATATCCGTATCTTAAGATTAAGAACTTAAATCTTAATTTCATTGATTTAGAAAAGAAAAAGGTATTTTCACTGTTTGAGAATTATCATCTTCTCTAATATTGAGACCTGCTACAAACAAAGGAGGTGAGAGACCAACTCAAAGAAATTCTAAATCCAAGTTCTAAGCACAGCTTGCTTACCCTACATTTGACTTGACCTTAAATGCAGTTGTTTGAGTATTGCATTGAAAATCTTCAGTGTTTTGTTTGCCTTTATTGTCAAACTGTGTTTCTTTTAACCTGTTATACTGTTACTAAAGAAACAAATGACAAAGAAATGTAGACTGGATTTATTTACCTTAAGATCCTTAAGAACTTGTATCCAGTGTACCACAACTCATGAAGTCCTTCAAATAATTCAACAAAGCACACGAACTAGATGACCTTTAAAGGTCCCTTGCTACCAAACTATTCTATTATTCGCAACACTTGACTGTAAAAGTCACTCTGTCTACATATAAAGTATCTTTTCAATAAAATGTAACACTTAATATGTTTATTGACTTAAAACTATTCAACAAAAAGAAAGCAGTGGTGATTTGTATGTTCAGACCACAAATTAATACAATTAATTTGACCATCAGTGTAATTAATACATTTACAGATAAGTAGAGTTAGAGCTTCAAATCAACAAGCTCTCTCACTGAGAATAACTTATACAAAATTTGAAGTGCAGTTTGCCTATAAATTGGTGTCACAAAAATCATCAGATCTTCAGAAATGTATGGTCAATTTGCCACCAAGTATAGGAAGACATTATTTATCTTTTTATTTCCACTGTAGAAATAATGCACTACAGGTATTTCAGAAAGACTTTGATTTTTGGAAACAAGCACTCTCTTTCTTCCATACGTTACCAAGTCTAACAGAAACACATTTTTAATTAGGCTAAATCACGCCTTACAGGACACAGTTAGGAGGAGGAAAGGAGGACATACTACTGGCACTTGAGACATATTGCCAGTGTAAAGCTGCCAAAAGCACACAGCGGGGAGCATGTTTTGGCTATCATGAGCAGAATAAGCATGCACTCCTTAACCACTGCCAGCTGGCATTTATTTCCAAATACAGAATGCTCACTAGGCAGTTTGGAGACTGGACATACTCCTAACTTTAACTATGCTCCCATAAAAACACGTTGCTGAGATACCTCATTAATCATGCCCTGTCTCCTAGCTGACTGCCAAATGAGAAAGACTGAATGACACAGAAAAATCATACATTTCTCCCTATACAAAAAAAAAGTACTTAAAGTATATCCAAATATACTCTAGCGCTTACGGTAAGAGAGATTTTAAGAGTGTTGGAAGATGTTCTGCCAACATCTCAAAACGAAGAAGATACTGTCACTCTCTATTATACATAGACAGAAAAAGTGAAATCCAGAGACACAGATTGCCAAGAAGACACAGTAATGAACAGAAAGAGTGGCTAGCATTGTGATTATAAACTATCATGTTTAATACAACCTCTAGCAATCCTCACAACAGACGCTCCCTGCTTTATGTGCCGGGGCAGATTTGTGGGTAGAAGATTAATGTCTCCCTCCATCTGCTAATGACTGTATAGGTCCCCTGGGCTTTGCACCAAGGGTACTTTGCCCTTAGGATGAAACAAAAAATGGTAATTTGTGTTCGTTGCTACATGAGCTTCCTATTTCCAGCAACACTCACAATTGCTAAATGTGTATTATTTCAACTTTATCTAATGAAAACATATTTTATCACGGTAGTTCAAGTTTGATTCCAAGCAGACTTTCAAAGAGATCAGTTAAAAGGAGAACAAACCAACAGGGGGACACTTTTCACTTTCAAAGTGCTTTCCTGACACACACAGCCTGCATCGGTATTTGTCCTGTAAGTGCTCTATTCATTAACTTTTCACTGTAGTTTCAAAGTGACTTCACTCTTCTGGATTTCCCTTTCTCTATTGCTGATAGCCTGCTGTCATGGACCAAGCAACTTGGAGAGGAAAAATGTGCCAGAGACTGCCACTTAAAGGAGAGGGCACTAATTAAAGTCTTCATTTCCTTCAGAGGATTCCGTAAGTGGATTTTAACTTACCCCTGTTAACTGTACCTTTGCTCCCAAGAACTGGAGGCAAGTCAGAGGGAGCTTGATACCAGCATAGTCTTCACAGACCTAAGCCAGTTTGATATCCTGGAAGAATATAGGGAAAGAACAGTTACAAAGTAAAGTTCTGAAGGAATAAGGCCAACATACTCATCACCAGAACAATGATTCTCAGGGCAAAATCAGAGGATCTTAATGCTATCTCAAATATCCATAAATGAGAAATCAAAACCAGAACATTGCTTCACTTAAGTCTCTAAATGTGGTTTCTCAGGTTCATGATGTGTTTCCTTTCTTCCTTTTCCCACCCCTATCAATTGCAACACTGACCTCCTCCTCACTTCCATCTGGAGGAAGAAATAGTTGTCCGTGCCAGAATTCCCTATGAGCGTCCAAGGGAATTCCAGGGACGGTGCCTACATTATCACCAAGTGCATGCAATTAACTTCCCCCAGTTTACCCAGCTTAACTTTGGAAGAGGCTGCAACACCTTTGCAGCTGAGCCATCAACACAAGAAAATTCTACCCCCTTTTTAAAAAAAGGAAACGTGATTTCAGTAACATGGCTTCTACTAATCATTTTGATTCAACTGGGTACTGTTTCTGTCAACCCATTCCTGCCTAACAAGAAAAGCGGGACAAGACAGAAAGTAGTCAAGAGGGAAAAAGAAAAAAAAAAAATGAAAGGAATTGCTCTTTACTGTCTTTCCTCATCTTCAGCAGAAAACTACCTGGTCTCAGACTCTACCAGAGCGCAGAAACCTTAGCCAAAAAGGACAATTTTTTCTCTCTCCCATCAGCAGCACTACACGAGTGTTAAACTAAAAAAGTGCTCTGTCTGTCCAGCCCTTAGTACTCTTGATATTACTTCAAAAACACTTCTCTACTGGCTTCCCAAATAAGGAAGTATTCTAAATCAAAGATAAACACTTAACATTGTTAAAATTCATTGTACAATGCAACCAAAAACCCAGCCTGATTTTGTATATATTTTATTTCCATATGGCACTTATTGGAATCAACAGAGCTGCTCCCAGATTTCTCATCTGAATCTAGTGATATTTGGCCTTTTTCTTATGCTTCCTCAGCAACTCATTTCAGCTTTCATTTGAGACTTAACGGAATCATCTTTTCCTTTAATCTGTATACAATGTGGGAAAACATATCCTTAGTACAATTTAAATACACAGAGCAATTAAAAGGGATTCCAAGTTGCTAATATCTCCTCGTTACTAATCACTCTCAGGTCCTTTTGGAAGTCTGACTTAGAGCTGAAAAGCTTGAACCGCAATGTTAAAATTTTTAAAAAAGAAAAGAAAAAAAACATACAGTTAAGAATACTAAAGACAAAAGCAGGACTCAAAGAATGTAAGGGGTACAGCAAAAAACTGTAGCTTCCCTCCCCTGCAGGGAGTACAAGATAGCATATCTCCTGCCTGATACTCTTTTGAGCAACAGCTTGCTTTCCTTAATGTGGCTCCTCAATGTCCATCCTGAGGTCTGAAAATGTAGGCAGCCCCTGGAGAGAAAAGCCAGTGAAGTCTGTGCATCCTACAGAGCACTGACAGCAATCATTCAGTCTTTTATACAAGCCCCTTGTACCTCTGCAGAAAGGTCACACTCAGTCTGGTCCCCAGAGAAAATACAGCACCCTAAATTGATAACATCTACTTACACTGCTGATTAGATAGATACTGTCTCTGACAGTCTTTCTGAAAAGCTGAACTAGAGTCTTAACTTTTAGGCCTGAATCACAACTAGTATATCTAACTCAAGTACTGGTAAAAGGCATTTAATATCATTTGTGAAAAAAACCCAGAACCTATCTGTTTGGGGGAGGAGCAGGGGCATTACTCTTGGTACATTCCCTCCTCCTCCCACAAGTAAGTACATCTGCACACATATATATGTCTCACATGTGGATACAGGATAAGAAATACAACCTGTTCCCCACTACTGATTTTTCCAATTTGAACACAGAGGCATCAACATATAAAGTTCACGCTATTTCAGTGAGATACTGTTTGAATGAATAATGCTGGAAGGATAACAATTCATGTAACACACATTATTTGGTCATTGCCAACTCAAGGGAAAAACGAAGTCTTAAGGTCAAATCCGTCAGGATTTCTGTTGGCATCACTAAGACCTCACACAGATGCACAAGACAAGTGGGACTGGTTATTTTGTCGAACTTAGCACAAAGTTAGTTCTGAGAAATATAAAAGGACTCTGATAAAAGTATCTTAAATTCAAGCTGTATGTTACAAAAAACAAGTGGTCAAACATGATGACAGGGTGAGTGAATCCATAAACGAAGAGTACTCTCATCACATCAGGTACAAAGGATGTGTCAACAATTAATCTAGGCTTCAGTAGCCACTCTGTGAAAAAAACAAACAAACAAAAAAAAACCCCACAAACCACTATTATTTTTTTATCATAAGAGTCATTTCAAATTTAGTATGTTACATACCTTCCCAGACTTGCAAAGAGCTCACCTACAACAACCGCAGCCAAGCCCAGCAAAGACTACCACTTAACGTGCATCACACTGACATGTCAGAGCTATTCTCAGCACACAGCAGCAAGACTGTGCCTAGTCAAGGCATCAGCACAGTGCTGAAGCACTTTGCTCAACAGCTTAAACTTGTTCCTTTACACGTGCTCTTTAGAAAATCATATTAGTTCTAAATTATCTTGGCCATGATTACTACACAAAGGGTTCCTCTGATCCCACAAATAAACAGCTCTTTGCCTCTAAGAATATAGTTTGAAAGACTATTTAGCATAACTCTTAAAGTACTTAGTTTCTCTGTGAGAAATCTTCTCCTAGAATCAGAATAATTTAGGCTGAAAAGGACCTCTGGAGGCCACGTCCTCCAATTCCTAGACAAAGCAGTGCTGATTTCAAAGTTAGAACAAGTTCTTCAGAGTCTTATCAAGTTTCTAAATCTCCAAGGGCAAATTGCAACCTCCAAATACCTCAGGTTGCAGTTTAAGTATTTTGACTGTCGGTTTTTTTTTTCCTTATGCCCAGTCAGAATTTCTCCCTGTCTATATGTGACAACTGCACTTCACCCTTTCTCAGTACACCTCAGGGAAGAGCATTGCCCTCTGTTCCAAAACAGCCCATTAGGAAATGCAAGGCATCAATTCACCTTCAGCTTTTAATCTACAGGCTGGGTAAACTCAAATCCCTCAGTATATACTCCAGGCACCTGCTGAAACAAGTTAAAACTCTTTATTTATGAAAATGTAACAAAGCCTTTCACATATTTCACCTTGAGCAAACAGCATTCTTTGCAGGTCCTCTGACATAGAGAAGACCATTGACTGCTTTACTTTCTGATCCCAAAACAAGTTCTCCTGAGGATGACCTCAGAGAAGCAGCATGAAGTATTCAAGAGGATAATGCACTGTTTCATGAGTGGCATCTCAAACCACCTAAACACTCTGAAATAGTGCTTTTAGCAGTGTCCAAATGAAAAAAAAATCAACATTTAAAGAAAATTTAATGTAGTTTAGAATGTAGCTAAACAGCTTCATGCAGTTGACATCAGAAAAATAAAAGATGTGATGTGTAGCTTCCTTTGACTTTCCTTTGAATTATAGATTGAAAGCTTTAAAGAGTAGGATTAGTTTTATTGGTTATGTGTAAGATTTTTGTTAAATTAAATTTCCAAATAGTATCTAATTTTAACATATTTGCACATACCAATTCAATGGGTTAGAAAAACAGTGTCTAAACATTATTTTGAGATAGGGTGCACTGAATTACTTTGATGAAATGAGTGATACATGCCACTCTCTCAACAGTGTTAATTCCAAAGCACTTTCAGAGAATCAAAACAGATACAAGATGAAGGACATGTGAGAAAAGGAAGATCTGTTACTTGCACTGAGCTACTGAGAGCACTGGCAGAACAAAGCATGCCCTCACAGGGAGCGAATCAGGTTTCATTCAGAGACCCAAGGAAGACAGCTTTCTACAGAGCTTCATTCCCCGTATGCAAGAATGGGTTTAATAAAGATTCTATTTATCATTTATTTAAAGTTTGTCTTCTATTAATTTGCTACACATTGCTGCCGCAGGGAGCAGCTTTTTCATATCTGCCTAGATAAGAGCTAGAACCTCCAGAACCATGACTGCCAAATACTCCAATAACAATCAGCAGCCCAGACCTTTAACATTATGCCATGCAAGTTCAAAACCTGTCCCCTTAGCAGATGCAGAAGTTCCACCCAAGAATGAAATATGTATTAATATTGAGAAATAGGCATGGAAATATTTATACACATAAACACACATGTACGTTCATTTGTGTATACTGTAAGCAGACTTGTGCATATTACACACATACCTAAAGTAAATATGCCTTCATCAATTTAAGTACAGTAGCAAACACCAGTGTCTGCAAATATTCTGCGTTCACGAGCGGAAAGTCATGGTAAACGCACCAGAGTTGTCGCATGTTAGTGGCACCTCTTCAGTGATCCTTCTGCAACTCTGGAAACACGTGTGCACCCAGCCCATGCCATCCAACAACTCCCCACTCCAGCCTACTAACCAGGAGACATTGTAGCTCTGCATGAGAAGCAGAAGAGAAACCAGTGCCCTTCCAGAGAGAGGCCCTTTCCTGTACCCAGCCCGAACACACACATTGGCACAGGATTCAGCTCAGGTCCGAAGTTTCACACGTAACCTTGCCATCACCAGTCTAACAAAAAGAACAAAACCCACTCTATGTGCCAAGCTTTTAAACACCTCTAAGACTGGCACTTTTACGTCTCCAGGTTTGCTTCCTGCCTGCCCCCCATCCTATCCTCTCCATTTAGCTTACATAGAGACCACCTCCAGAGTGCCATGCTAATTAGCAACAGCTTGCACTCTATATTAAAACCAAAAATAATAATATAAAAAAAACCCTAGTGAAAAGAAAAACTGAATGAGCTCATATGCATTTCATCATGTCAGTAATACTGGCATATTTTACTTATACTTACATAATTTTAATTCTGATCTGAGCAGCAGACTTGCTATAATTGCTGAAAAATAAAGTTATAAATTAGACGTGTGATATGATAGGGTCTATTGCCCTACAGACTTGCTATAAAGTTCTACAAAAATATATATGTCTGTAACCAAGACTAACAATAATAAGCTCATTGTGTGAGGATAAAAATAGGAGGTGAACAGTAAAGAAAAGCTTGGCTAGTGTAGAAAATAAATCCAAAACCTACAAAGTATTAACTCAACAAACTAAATAAGTATTTAATAAAATGAAGTTCTTTTCTTCTTTCAATATCAGTAGCTCCTAAAAAAGAAAAAAACACATTCCTCATAGGTAAATGTCCATTCTATAAATTCTTTACACTTTCTTGTATTTTGTTTGGCTTTTTCACAATGGGCCTAATTATATTTTCTTATGTCTGTACTTCCTACATGTTCAGCATTTACCAATTTATCTACCTTGAATACAAACTGAACTACAGACTACAGAGAATGAAAAGTTTAGTAACTCTTCAAGTCTTAAAGATTTCTCAGCACAGCAAATGGAATACTGCACACTGCATTGAGGGTGGGAAATACAATTTAACTGACATTTCAACAGTGTCTTGAAACTAAAAGATTGTTTCCTAGAATATTGAGTATTTAATTAGAACACAACCTACAAATAAGAAAAAATTGGAAATAATTTCTCCCCGATATCTTGCCTAAGTTTTAACAATATTTAGCACTTGCAATAGTCATTGTAATGGACTCCATTATTATAATTAAGATCAGTTAAGCTGCATTAAGGAATTTCAATAATTATTGTCTCCCCCTAATAGATAAACAAGGAGAGAGTCAATGACATTGAAAAACAACAGATTTAATGCAGATAACCGAGTTCAGTGCTACAAGATATTACTGAAACAACAGGTTATAAAAAGAGGCAAGAAGATATTAAAATCTTGTGCATAAAGTAAATCCTAGCTAAGAAGGGTTAGAAGAAACTTCCACCCTAACAAAAAGCACACTGCAATTGCTCACAGCAGCTGGAAGACACCGGTTGGACATCATATTGTATCCTACTGAGGAGTGGCAGTTCTTTAAATCGTTGCTTGTATCACCTACTAGGAGAATGCCACCCTGGTTTAAACTCCTTGGAACACTGATCTTACAGGTGTATTATCTACAGAAGTCAATGGGGACTTTGTTTGTGCTACATACCCACCATATCCATATTGACAGAAGTGTGAAAATGGATGATCCCTTTCAGACACACCTGACTCAAACTCCTACTGTACACACCTGTGGGCACTTCATGGTTAGGAATTTGCGAGAATAATTCATTCTATGTGAAATATGTGAAAACTCTGAGCCTTCTACACCTTGCCCACACTAGAGACCCATTACCCCCAAAACGAGCTTTATCAGTTTTACTACAGACCCAGACAAAATTACCTCAGCAGAGAACCAAAAAGCAGTCCCTGGTGGTGCCACTCTTTCTACCTGGAGAGAACCTAGATTTCATATGTAACAGAGACACTTTACCATACTTAGGTATTTTAGCATGAATTAGCCTGAAAATTCAAGAACATTTCAAGACCCCTCAGCTCTGCAAGAAGGTGCAGAAGAGATACGAGGTACCCCAAAGTGCGACCATCTGCTGTGGAGCCACTTTGCATTCTTCACCAGCACGCTTAGCCACAAAATAATGACAACCCAGGTTGAGGCACCCTCATTTACTAACACTGTGACACTACAAATACAAGGACAAATCCTGCAACCCTTCATCTAGCAAAGCACATTTTTCTGGAAGCTGACCCACATAAAAAACCGAGGATCAACCTTCTCTGATCATTAAAACGGACACAGACAGATGCTGACACATCAAGCTCTTACCCAGAGCTTGGTTCATAAAGGAATGATTTAATTAATATTTTAAATCAAAACCAACTTTCTTGATTGAAAAACAAAGCACACACCAACTCCCGACGCTCTTATTATAAGAGCAACGGTTTTTATTCAGTTTTGCTTCCAACTCTTCCCAAATGACATAACCAGAACTGCAAACAAGTGATGTCCACATAGCAACTTCTACCACAATGACACAACCAGTCTAAATTTACATTGACACCACTTTACCTTAAATCAGCTTCTCCCACATGCACAGGCTTTTGCACTAGGTATCCAATTCCTTCAGTCAGCCATAACATCATATATAATTAACCTATGCTTGCTAAACTTCCTCATGAGAAGTCATCCAAGAGAAAGAGGCAAAGAGCATTGTCAGTGAATTTCCTCTCCTTGGGCTGTTGCTGGACTGTCCTGGTGGTCACCTTTGGATCCAGCACACTCTTCGGACAGTAATATTTTGTGTTGCTCCATTAACTACTTTGTTTTCAGAATCCACACTACAGATCGCTTCAAAGCCTGTCTCTCTTCAAAACATAGTTAAACATTTATTGCCAATAATTTAGCCCTTTCTATTTTGTTACACGTGGCTTGCTGAAATGCTGTTAGTCTCGGCAGAAGGCAAAATATCAACACTATCCAAACCAACAAAATTCTGCCACAGATTCAGCTGACCAAACTGTCACTCTGCATACAGCAATAACATGCCACTAGAAAACAACAGAAATGCACGAACAGCCGCTCCTACTACCTCCTTGTATCAGCGCCTGCGACACGCACACACACTGCCGAATCTTCACACTGTATTTACTAACCATGGATCCCTCCCTGGCAGGCAGCAGAAGGGATCCCGCAGACCTCCACACCGCCAGCCTCATTGGCCCAGAAGTAATCCCTGCTCCAGCCGCACAGCTCCCTTGCTACCACATCCCAACAATATCCTTCGGCGAGGAGAGGAGCCGCAAAACTGAACTTCACTTCCAAAAGGCGCAGGAGAGCCGCCCTGCACGCCTTCCCGGCCCTTCCCCGAGTTCCTGGGGCACAGAACTACCGGGAGCTGAAGCGAGCAGTCGGCTGAAGGACGGGCACCGCGGCTCTCCCTGCGCAGGAATCTCACTCACAGGGAGCACATCGCTGAGGTTTTGCTCTCGCACACCGAGCCACTCTGCCCAGCAAGCGCTGCCGAGCCCCACGGGCTTGTTTTAGCCACATCTGTAAACATCAAGTTGTTCGTTTGTTTGTTATTTCATTTTATTTTCCGCCAAGACGGCCGCTCGTTCCGGCCAACACCGCCCGGCAGGAAAGCAGCCGCGGCGGCAAAGGGGGTGCCGGGCTGGCAGGGTCCCGAGCACAGTTCAGCGCCCCATGTTACCAAATCAGTCCCCGGCGCGCCTGGGACGCGCTTTTGTCTGCGGAGAGGAAGGTACGGAGCGCCCGAGCGCTACCGCCACATCACCGCGCTCACTCGCGGGCTGCAGCCCAAAATCGCGACCGCGCCGCCGAGCGCAGCCCGCTCCGTGTCCCGCCGAGCCGCGGGGGGGACGCGACCCGAGCGCCCCGCGCTGACCCGCTCGGAGCTGGCCCGGGGGCAGCGCGGTCCCCGCGCGGGGGGCACGGACACGCGCGGGAGGAGCGTGTTTGTGTGTGTCCCCCCCCCACCACCACCCGAGAGGGCACAGCAGGCAACGCGCCCCGCTCCTCTTCCCGCCTCCCTCGCGCCGGACGCGGCACGACAGGTAAGAAGGCGACCCCGCCGGACCGCCGCCGTCCCCGCCTTACCTCGGCAGGCTCCCGCTCCCGCCGCCGCCCCGCCAGTGCCGCCGACAGCGGCGGCGGCAGCCCCGGACCCCCAGCCCCGCCCCGCCCCGCCCCCTGGCGGGGCCGCCGGGGGCTCGCGCGCCCCCTTGCCGCGCGCGGGGCGTGAGGGAGCGCGGGGTCCTTCCTGCCCGCGCGGGGCTGGGAATTGGCGAGCTGGGCTGGGAATTGGGGAGCGGGGCTGAGAATTGGGGAGCGGGGCTGAGAATTGGGGAGCGGGGCTGGGAATTGGGGAGCGGGGCTGGGAATTGGGGAGCGGGGCTGGGAATTGGCGAGCTGTGCTGGGAATTGGGGAGCGGGGATCTCCCCGCCGCGCTCCTCATTCGGAAACCCCGCGGGGGCTCTGCGGCGGGGGCAGGTGAGGGGCCGGGACAGCGCACGGCGGCCCTACGGGCTCGCCCCCCGATCCCGGTCCGTTGTCAGATCGAGCAGGATCGCGATCCCGCCCGGCCGAGGAGCTGTTCCTCTGGCCCCCATTCCGTCCAGCGCGAGGGGCAGGGGCACGGGACGGACCCTCACCCTGCAAGTGTTCTGTGTTTTAGCCGCTCTGCCCGCTGCCTCTGAACAAAGTTTTTGTCCGGCAAACTCTCAGCCCAACCTGGCACCCGCTTGTCGCACCCTCGGTGCCGGTGTGTCTCCTCTTGTCCTGACGGCTGGAGTGATTCTCCATGCCCTCCGCAGGCTTGTGGGCCGGTACGGGCAGCCCCGGGAGCCTGCAGTGAGAAACGTTAAGAATTCCTCCTAGGAAAGAAATACCAGAAAAGGGAGGAAAGGTGTGATGATGCTCAGGTTCAGGTGGGCAGCTGGCTCTAAGCCTTCCACGCTGGCAGCACAGCAACCAGTTGGGGCCTTCAGCATCCTCTACTGCTGTTTATCTCAGCTTAGGGACTGCAAAGTCTTCAGGAGTTAAACACAGGCAAAACCACCCTCTATTCAGATTTTTGACAGCTGTAATGAGCTCAAGGAAGAATTATGTAAACATTATTAAGTGTTAATAAACACATGTCAGCGTTAGGCAGTCTTGTGTAGAAATGTTGGTAAAAGCCATGGTGAACGCTTTATTCATAATGTCTTTTTAACTTTATGTAGCTGGTGTAATAGGCCCTGTGCATTGCTGTTGCCTCGACAGAAAATCATTACCCAGTAACAGATGAGCCAGTTCGGAAGGAGTGCCACTGGGATACTGCACACTTTCATTCATAGATGCTACGTATTAGAGGAAGTAGCAGGAGGCCTGCCAACTTTCCCAATTTAATTATTAAACTGTCAGTTCCTGACTCCTTGTTTCAACTTCCTGAGGCAACATCTGGCTGTAATAACAAAAATAAATAAATAAAATAAAATTTGATCATTCACTCAGCAGCATTCTATTTGCAATGTCCTTTTTACTGCAACTTTTATGAAAAGCTCAGTATGGGGGATCTGGACCCAGCATCTCTCTGAACTACCCAAAAATAAAGACAAGAACAGTTTCAGCTGTGATCCTCAAGGCAAAGCTGTGCAGAAAGCTATATCATACTTGAGCCTTTTTTCAATGAGTCCAATGGTGTGCATTTTAATCTTCCTAATCCTTCTTTTATTCATAAGAACATCAGCGTTTTTTCCACTGCATGAATCTGCATGATATGACTTTGGAAGATAAAAAAAAAAAATTTGCTAGCCAAGAATTTTTGCATTTTCATCAAACATTGCTTCATGTTGGTTTCAGAAAAAAAAAAAAAAGCCATAAAGGATATCAGATTTAAATGCTACCACATGTAAGTGAAACGCTGAAGAGAAGTTTTAAAATATCTGTGAGTGCGTCTTCAAGCGTTCTCTGGATCTGTTTCATATGATGTGACAGCTTCAGCTCACAATTCAGTATTGCAGTGGATTTTGGAACTGTATGCCTCTTTTTTTCATATCCTCACTCAAACACACACACACGCTTACAAAAATATGTATCTATATATGTACACATGCACACAGAGAGACAAATACAGAGTGACTCAGCTCTACATTCTACTTGCTTATCAGTTTTCAAAGCTCCAGCACTGTTCTCTTGCCTTGTTTAAAATGCCTAAAGCCACCTTTCCCACATTGCTTATTTCAGTGCCAGGCTGCAGAGCCTTTGACAAAGCTGGGCCATCTACATTGCCTTCTGTGGGTTACCCTGTCCTAAATGCCTTTCTTCAGGTCAGGAGGTCAGCCCTTCCATTAATCACATGGCAGCTTAGGGTTCAGTGCTCACTCTGCACACTGTAGTTCTAGGGAATCCTAGGAGACCCTTTTTCCTGGTGGTCACTTGAAGCTAAGGAAGGAAATCTAGATCTGGAGTCAGAGGTCCTGTAAGCCCAAACCACAGTGGGATGGCATCCAGTGGGATGACTACCACCACCCATGAGTGATATTAGGCACTGCACAGTACTTTGGTCTGCCCAAAGTGCGATAGACAAACAGGAGTTGTAGCAACTGTGGTGGTAAGTACGAGTCAGGAAAGTGTGGGAGCAGTTCCTAATCCAGTACCTCCAGTACCACTTTCCCTTAGTGCTCCCAGAGAAAACACTCCTGTTTTTTATATTCCATTAATCCTCCCATTCAGAAGTTAGGTGTAGAGATCAGAAGAGTCTGAAGTCAATGTTGCTGTCTTTTGGGTTTCTGTAGGAGGTTTGACATTAGGTCCTTACTTTTTTTTCCTCAGATGTTTCCTCGTTCTAATTGCTTGGAGGAATTTCTGGAACATTTTATTGATTTCTTAGCTGCTCTCCCCTGGAACTCCTCATAATTCCTTGCTTCCTAAGACTTCCCTGGATACTTTTTCTTTTGTATCCCCCAGTTCAAGTAGCAGAAAGGCTAACCATCCTGCTAAGTAGGGCAGCCTTTCTTAAATCACCGAAAGAACTCTGGATAATCCTTTCATACCTGTCTCCCATCTTCAAGTGAAATGACTATGCCTCTTAAGTTGTCATAGGAGGGGATTGAATACTTTATATAAATTCTATTCAAGATTCTCCTGTTTTCCCTACAGTTCATGACAGATCAGTCAGAGTCTTCCTTTATACTGTAAAGAAGAAAGAAAACAAAGAGAGGGGAGAATATTGAAAGTGGATTTTCTGGTCAAATTCCACTTAATATTTTTTCTATTATTAGCCAATTACCAGGCCCATGGCTCAGAATTATTTTTAGAAAAGTCACCTGGGATTTAAGAAAAAAAAATAAACAAAAAAATCCTCAAAGCAAAACATTTCAAAATACTCTGGACCAAAGCAACGCTTCTGAGACGTCAACAAAGCTAATGACTTAATAAGGTGATGCATGCTGAGTCCTGTGACCAGATGCAGCTTTGAAAACTTCTGTAGGAAGTGGAGTTTGTACTATAGTAAGGAAAATTTGTACTTGTGTACATTAAGGAGTCTATCATCAATTTCTCTACTTTTTGTTCTGGAGATCCTTTGACAATCTCTATACCATAAATGAATTCATCAGTAAAGAGGAAACTGCAAAAAATGAGCAAATCCTTTAGGAAAAGAAGGTTGAAGAACAGTTTAACACAGAGAATTTCACAGTCTGTTAGAGAAGGTCAGTAACATGATGGATAAGACTACAACAGATGTATTTATGTATTTACAAATGTGAAACCAGAAATTAGAGTCTTATTAAACGTAGCAGCTGTTAATTGCCAACCTCATATATAGACACATGCTTGGAGAGACTGCTAATTAACCAAGTGAAAAACTAGAGGAGTTTCAGCTCTGAGTTACTTGCCATGGATCTAAGAGGTTAGGTGAGAGAATCTGATTCCCAGGTGGATCCCAAGCTCGATGATATTTGTTGGCTATATGGAGGCAGTGATGTCTTATCTGAAGCAGAATTGGCTATGCATAATTGTGCGCTGATCCTCTAGGGCCAGCATCAGCAGCTATTAAAACAAGCTGACATAAAGAACCTCCTAGATATTTGACGGGCTGGAGACATCAGCTCATGTAAAACTGCATGTATTTAGACCAAGAAACTAAAATTACTTTCCTTAATGAAAAGCTTCCTTTACTGTAAGGAAAAAAAAAAACATAAGCTGCAGGATTTGAAACATCAGCTAGCAGATGAGAAATCCAGAATCCCACTAAGCTTGGGGCACACTTATATGAACATTTGTTGCAGCAGTCAGCACTTACCTAAGGACATGATAAAAATCCCAAGGTATTAATAATAATAACAACTCAGTCCCTAGCAATATTGATAGGTTGTTTTTTGGTTGTTTTGTTCTGCAAGATACTGGTAAGAAGGAACACAGAGTCTAGGAACAGAGTTTATTTATTTCGTGTCTGCCATGCTTACTAGGTAACAGAGATGATATTTCACCATTAGAGATGAAAAATAAAGCTGTGGTGCACTCAAATCATCATATAATAATAACTGACGGTGGCAGCTGAGATTGTAGGAGCATCTGTAGCTACAAATACTCAGCTGGGACTCCTTTAGGCTTCTGTGCATCATCTGGTCTTCTGTTATCTCCTTGGGAAGTGAAGCAAGCAACACATGGGTGCCATGACTTCTGAATGCTTGATAAAAGAAGTAAAAAATAAAGCTAATGGAAAATCCAACCACTATAACTGATAGTGTAGAAACTCTTTTACTGAGCCTGCTAATGACTTAAGAAGGTGATGCATAAAATACAAAGAAGGTGTTAGAACAGCTAACCCATTTGTTACCTGAGAGTTGTGTTCAATGGTAATGAGAAGATTGGAAGAGATAATTTGGTGCATTGTGTTTAAAGAACTGCTCCTCGAGGTTGTCCTCAGGATGGATTGGCAGGGAGTGTCAGGTTTCAAGTGTACTGATAAGAAAACACGAAGAACATGGGAGGAGCATTTGGTAAGAGTGAAAAAGATTGTAAACGTCTCTAAGGAGTTAGGGTGTAAAATTTCTGAAAGCAATGCCTATTCGTAAGAAATCGTACTACCTTGGCATACAATCCCTGAAAATGAACTGGAATATTAATTACCAGAAAAAAAGTATAGGGCAGAAAAATTGTTACA